CGGTGTGTGTACAGCACGCTGAATGAAGTTTGGCGTCGTGTTTGTCTCGCTGTCTCCAGTTTGCTTTGCCCCCTCCGGATAAAACATAATACTAAAAGAAAACATTGCGGGGGGAAAGCCTTGACGTTTTTACATTTTTAATAACTATTGATTTCAGGCAGATACATGTCGGACTACAGGGGGAACATGGACCCATATACTGTCCTCAAATGCCCCACAAATCATGTGCGTGCATTCATTAGAGCCCCGTTAGAAGTGCCTGTGAGAAACCAGCAACATGCACGTTTAAGAACAATGGAAGATCTGGAAAAACCCTGAAATGTAAACATCCAACTTCTTTCTTTCCCCCTAAAACAAGCAAGGAAAGTTTATTTAACGAGCACATTTCAACTCGAGGCAATCAAAGTGCTTTACAATAAGACATTTAAATAATTTAGACTTCATTTAGGCAACAGAAACAAATAATAAAATCACATTTAAGCTTCCTGTTGTCCTCGGATCAAATGTCCTGCTTTCTTTTTTAATGATTTTATGTCGTAAAATGGGGTTATTTAATCTAATTGCCACAAAAATAACATGGATGATTTCATACTACTTTGTTCTTGAGAAAAAGGAATGATCACTTGATTTTTGTGGGGTTTCTTTTATTTATAGTATCTGGTGTCATTATGTGCTGTCATTAAAACAGTTCAAATGGTCCCAAAACAGATTCCCGGCTACACTTTGATATAAACGAGTCCATGATAATCCATCAAAATGTTTCTCTGATCTTACTTATAGTCAAAATCATTCAAATGTCTGCCTTTTTAAACTAAAAAATAAGGTTAATTTTGTGTCAATGAGGTCTTATTGACAAAAAACGATAATAAGGAGAGTAGAAATTGAGGTAATGAGTTGAAATGAAGTCTGCATTAAAGGTGTAAACCAAAATTGCAAGATGATTTATGTCAAACCAGGACTAAAGTTGCACATTTGACAGAAAAATAACTTAAAAAGTCATTAAAAAAGCACAAAAATACTATTTAAAACAAGCTAAAACAGAATTGGACATGTGTATAATACATGGATAAGAGTTACAGTTCAGTGTAAGATGTGAGAAGTGATTTAATTCAAACAGAAAAGTCTTCAGTCCTGATTTAAAATAAGGTTGATTTTTGTGGTGTTTTTTTTATTTATAGCATCTGGTGTCATTATGTGCTGTCATTAAAACAGATTCCCGACTAAACTTTGACATAAACCTGTCTATGATAATCTATCAAAATGTCTCTGATCCTAATTATAGTCAAAGTTATTACAAGTTATTTCAATGTCTGCTTTTTTAAACTCAAAAATAAGGTAAATGTTGTGTAAAGGAGGTTTTATTGAAAATAAATGATAAAAAAAACGGTGTAAAACGTGTGGTAATGAATTGAAATGAAGTTGGCTTTAACACAGATTTGAGTTATATATACTATCCGCTTTACAAACCACGACTAAAGTTGCATATTTGACAGAAAGACAACACAAAAGTTTAACAACAGTCATTAAAAACTCATGAGAATACACATTAAACAAGCTCAAATAGAATAAAACAGGTAGAAAATGCATGATTAAACGTTATTTGAGCAGGAAAGTCTTCAGTCCTGATTTAAAATAAGTTCCTAACTCTCTTATTTTTTCCTCTCAGCTCCAACAAGCGTAAGTCCATTGACGACAGCGAGATGGAGAGTCCGGTGGACGATGTTTTTTACTCGGGTCGATCCCCGGCGGCCGGCAGCAGCTCTCAGTCCAGCGGCTGGCCCAACGATGTGGACGCAGGTAGTGCCGCTAACAAACACACACACACACACACACACCCTGCAACCCCAACCCCCATCCTGGAGCTGGTCCACATCAATCAGCTAAAAGGAGGCTTATAAAACCTTTACATTGAACTTTAACGCACCTGAAAAAACGTTTATTTTAACATTTTATTCTCATTTTGGAAAATATCCTTATTCACGTTCTAGTTTTAGGGTTAAATGAGAAGTTTGATACCAGTTATTCCTCTCATCTACCTCTCAATGAGACAGGAAATCATAATTTTTCTCAAAATATTGTACTGTCCTAAGCTTAAAAGTATTCTGTAGCTAGCTTAGCTTAGCATAAAGACTGGAAACAAGTGCACATAGCTAGCATGGCTCTGTGCTGAGGAAACAATCTCCATAAGTACGTCATACAGTCCCACTTTAAAGTACTAATGGAAGCTTTCTTGTTGAGGGTTGAATGAGAAGATGGATACTCGCTCATGAAGTACATGTGAAGCTGCAGCTTGTTAGCTTAGCATCAAGCCTCTGTGCAGAGGTTACAAAATCTGCTTACCAGCTCCTCTAAAGCTCATTAATCAACACCGTATGTCTTATTAAAAGTGCAAAACGATGCATTGTGGTTTTAGGGGGGTTAAATGAGCACAGCTATTTTTAGTTAGTTCCTGTACTCCTTGGGTTTTGTGCAGAGTAAACAAACAAAACATTATGTGTTAATTAGAAAGCTGGTAGGCAGATTTTGTTTGCGATTGCCAGGCTAGGTTTTTCCCTCTGTTTCAGTCTTTATACTACGCTAAGCTAAGCTAACCGACTGCTGGTTATAGTTTAATATGTACTTCAGAGAGTGGTATCAATCTTCTAATATAACTCCCTGCAAATAGCAAATACCTGTAGGTATTATCCAAAATATGTTTCTTGAAATGTTCATGACTTAAAAGTTCAACTTCAGAAAGAAACATAGTTAGCTTTTAAATATTGTTTTCGGGGCATTTAAAACAACGTGTTCAGGTGTTAATTTCCCACTTCCTGATGTGAACCAGTAGCCAAAGCTCACCTCACACATCCCTTCGTCTCTGTACTATGATGTTGACCCTTCTCTCCACCATTATCATCCCACATCTCTTTCTATACCCTCATCATCCATTCACAACTTCTCTAATAAAAACAACAATGTGACATGCTAACCAGGCTATCTGATTCCCCATGTTTCCACTCATTGTAATAAGCTAAGCTAACCTGCCTCTGGCTCACCTACAGCAAGCTACTAGTTAGCTTAGCAAAGACTGAACAAACAAGATATAAAATGCTACCTTAGCTAGTTGTTTACTCCTTTTTCATGCACTTTTGCTAAGCTAAGCTAACCAGCCTCTGGCTCAGCTACAACCAGCAACCAGTTAGCTTAGCACAGATTGGAAATGGGGAAACAGTTACCTTACATGTTGTCTATATGTTTCCAATTTAGTTAGAATTAAACAAACAAGATATAACATGCTATCTTAGCTAGTTGTTTACTCCTTTTTCATGCACTTGCTAAGCTAAGCTAACCGGCTTCTGGTTCTAGCCGTAAAACATAAAAAGAAAAAAATGTTTTTAGGGTCTGTTTTTTGTACAGATTAAACTAACAAGGTGCAATATGTTAATAGGTGAGTTATAAAGGTACTGGTAGGCAGAGTTTTTTTTTAACTTTTAGACATAGCCAGGCTAGCTGTTACTCCTGTTTTTACTCTTTATGCTAAGCTAACGTTAGGCCAAACAACTGTAGCTTCATATACAGTAATGAAAGTGGCATCACTCTTTTCATAAGTAACATCCATCCCTTTTATATTATTCCCTAACACAGTTCTACATATGTTGTCTTTATGAGTATTGCAGTAGAGGAGCGTCTGTGTTTCCACCCATTGACTTCTTAAATCATAACCACTCACCCCTTGGCTTACATCATTTGTAACCATCATGATGGGTTCCATGTGAAATGTATTTAAGACTTGATGTATATCTCTGGGGGTTTAGCTGTTTAAATTGTATTCTGCGTCACTCCCACTCACATGCTGCCGTTTTAAAGCCCCCAGCAGTAATGATGTAATGATTTTATAGACACTCGCTGCACTCTATAACATCAAAGTCCCTTGTTGCCCATTATTTAACCACTTTCTCTCCCTCTATAATTCTTTCCATCTCTGTCTTTTGTTAACTCTTCCCTTTCTCCCCTGTTTGGCCTTTCAGTGCAGCACCATTTGGCCAGTGTGCAGGAGAGGAAGATTAAGCATGAGAGCGATGGAGTGCAGTTTCCTTACCATGGTTAGAACAACATTAAACATTATATACATGCTGTGCACCACCCTGTATACATCTCTTTCTGTCTGTTTGCACTTCCTGTGAGCTCTTCTGCATCTCCCACTTCTCTCTCTCTGGTGTAATGTTGTCTGGCTGTGCTGCCGCTGGGTGGGGTTGTTTCTGCCAGATGTCTGCTGTTGTCCATTGTGGGTAAACCAAAGCCTTTTGGTCGCCCAGTAGCTCCATAACATGCACCGCCTGTCTGCCTCAAAGATGTTATTGTGGAAGCCGGGAAGATGAAGACGTCCCTGGTGCATTCAAGACGTCTCTGAATCCCTTTAATCCTGACAAACTTGTGTTTTCTACGTCCAATTATGTGCATTATCATATCCGAAAAAACCACATTGTTGTCGCACAGCACATGCATACAAACAGCTTTTTCGTGGCGGTGTGAATTTGTCAGCAACGTGCAGCTAAGTGTTTTGAGTGTAATTTTGTTGTCGAGCGCTGAGAGAGAACGCGATGAAAGAGAAGGAGGGTTTTGTGTGTGTGTGTGTGTGTGGTGTGTGTGTGTGTGTGTGTGTGTGTGTGTGTGTGTGTGTGTGTGTGTGTGTGTGTGTGTGTGTGTGTGTGTGTGTGTGTGTGTGTGTGTGTGTGTGTGTGAATGAGGGTTTTGTTGAGTGTTAGCCGCTTCATGCTGCTGGCTTGTTGAGTGCTGTCCCAATCGCCTTTTGAAAGACAGCGGCGGAAAAAAACCAACATACGACCCAGACAAACAGGACTGACGGCACTCAGGTGTGTCATCAAAGCACACAGCCTTCTGTCTCTGAGACATGCTTACTCACAGTTACACACACACACACACACACACACACACACACACACACACACACACACACACACACACACACACAAATGTACATTTCAGCTCTTTCTCTGATTTACATTCACACACATAAACACACTCCCCAATCTGGAGAGGAGCAGCGTTTGGGTCCAGATGGCGCCTCCATGTGTCTACAGCAAAGGGAGCTACTGGGTTACAGCAGACATCTGTTCTGGTGCTGGTGCTGGTGGTGGTGGTGGTGGGAGTGAGAGAGATGGGGAAGGGGGGGAGGAAGAGGAGGGAAAAGGGGGGAGGGTTTCCGCCTCCGCCTGCTCTGGAGGTGATGCTTTACCTGAATGAAAAGCTCCGAGGCATCGCAGGTGATCATGTAATCCATCATTAAGTCTGCTGTCTCCTGCTGCTTGCTTGCTGCTGCTGCTGCTCAATAGGGGGGGGAAAGGTGATTTTGATATGGAGTGGTGCAGGGATGATGTGTTTTTGTAGGCCAAATTAAAAGTTAGCATTGCAAGGGGTTCCCCACAAAAATCCAATGTCATTTTGGATTATGCCAGAAAATAATCTCTGTGTCAAACAAACAATTATAATACACGTTTAGTTCAGCGTCACCACCGCTAAGCTCAAGGTGGCTAATGTTGGACTTGATGACGTTTAGTCGTCTCATTTAGACACATGTTAGCAACCTCTGTTTTTTAATTCACCAGTGGGGTATTTTATGACATATTTGATATCGTGAAATAAACATCTCTTCAGCTTGCGTTAACCACAGACGTTATATCAGACTAACAACCAAAGACACATTCAGAAAACCATTGACTTCTAGACGAGGGAACAGTAAGTGCTAAAATGCTGACTCATTCCCCGGGGTTAGGACTCATTCCTGCACCACTCTATATAAATCCAGCTAATTGCTGGGTGTGGGAGTTGCTAACGTGCCCTAAAGCATATATAAACTCTTTGTTTATGAGTGCTAATGATGTGTGAGCTACACCGCTAATGAGGGACGCCTCTCTGATGGGGAACAATGTTTTCTTTTGCTTACCTGAATGACCTGTGTGTGTGTGTGTGTGTGTGTGTGTGTGTGTGTGTGTGTGTGTGTGTGTGTGTGTGTGTGTGTGTGTGTGTGTGTGTGTGTGTGTGTGTGTGTGTGTGTGTGTGTGTGTGTGTGTGTGTGTGTGTGTGTGTGTGTGTGTGTGTGTGTCTTGGTGCACATGCTAGTTGGGAGGTGTTGTGTGGTCGCCAGCTTGTTAGCGTGGCAAGGCTAAAGGGTCATGGGAGCAATTGGCTGCCAGTCTGCTTGTGCAGTGTGCCAGCAGCAGAGCATAGAAATAATGCAGTACAAACAACTGTGAGTGTGTGTGTCTATGTGTTGACTCTCTCTCTCACACACACACACACACACACACACACACACACACACACACACACAGATTAAGGGAGAGATCAGAGTAACTTCTGTTGGTTTTATCAGACGGAGCTTTCATTGGGCATCTGGGCCTCATTTGCTGCTCTTCGCTGAGAAGCAGATATTTCGGCGAGATACGAACTAATTAGGGGGAATCACAGAGACTAAAAACAATATGTATAATTTAAGGCTGTTTATGCATAATAAGCTGGTTATAATTGAACTTGTACTGTGTGGTGGCACGCTCTCCTCCCTATACGTACCACAGAGGAGCGGCAGCCAAACGCAGCGATGCGTTCAAACACACAACATGGCGTCGGTTTTTAACGGTCTGAAGGCCGCTTTAAATTAAATTATACAACCCCGGCTCTCAGCACATTTTACAGCAGACATGAATATATAAAACAGCACCGTTTAACTTGTAATATATATGTATTTTATTTGTATTTTTTTCAACTAATTCAACACTCTTCTATACAATTATTATTATTTTCCTTTGATTTTTTTGTCTGTTCTTTTGTTTGACTAATACATTTTATTGAAAGCAGAAGTTTGTATTCTGAGAGAAATGCAAGAAAAACGAACCCAACGTCCAGTATTTTCAAAATATATATATAGTCAAGGTACAAGAAAACAGACTTAGTTGAAGCGGGAGCGCGGAAAGCATATTTTAACTTTATTATAATTTTTAAATGCCATTGTTTTTGGCCAAATACCTAAAATGTTATGGCAAAAATAACTACAAACTTTGTTATACATTAATCTCAAAAAGTTAAAAAGTCTTAAGGTTAGAATTTAACAAAGTTAAGGCTAATTTATAATCTGAAATGGGCCATTGTGCAGAATTAGTACATTTTGATGCTAAAACTTTGTTAATTTCCATCCATCTTCTACCTCGGGTAGATTTAGTTATTTACCTTAAAGTGGACCTATCATGCTATATTTGAATAATATATAGTGTAGGACCATACCTATATAAGGCATATTTATACTTTTTTTTTTTCAAAATACCAAACAGATCATGCATTTTAGCCATGCCTCATTTTGCTCAATTTGACCATTTCTAGCTCTGGGCAGATTCAGTGAGAACAGCACCATCTACAGGCCTGGCATATGTACTACAGCGTCTCCAGCGCTTTCGAACGGCAATGGCCGTGGCTGTCTCCTCCTGATTGGTGGAGTTGGCCCAATAGCCGTAGCGCCACCGTCCTGACGTCAGGACAGTGTTCAAATCTGGATCAGTTTTTATCAGATCCGTTGCAGCCCCTTTTTTAGAGATTTGGGTATGGAGGAAAATAGAGAGGGTTGTGTTTTCTGACACTTGGTGAGTTCCCTGGAACACCGGGGACACATATTCATGTATAAAAGACGTACAAAAGTGCATTTTGCATGATAGGTCCCCTTTAAGTAATATCACTAAGTAATAAAACATTTAATACACAAAAACAACAAGAAAACAAATGTTAAACTATTATATTAAATAATATGTAGCTCCAACACTTTGTTTAGCGGCTCTACTCCGTCTTTTACTAACGTTGTTATCTCCTATATGAAATGAAAATGGAATATAGCCAAAAACACATGTTGAAAAATAACAACTGAAAGCATCTTGTGTCCTTCTGTCTTCACACTGTTTTAAAAAAATATAATTCTCTCCATAAATCTCATTAATCTCGCCCTGCTTATTGTATCCGCTCACATGTCGTCCCTTCTTGAACATAAGTGCCGTCGCCCACCTTCTTCTAAACTTATCGGTGCACAGCTGCCTCCGAGCCTTGTGGGTAAATAGTGATAAAACATTTCCCAGTGCAGCGTTAAAGAAAAAGCTTTTCAGAAATCTGCTCCGTTAGACTTTACAAGCGCAGCTCATAAAATCTATTTCTACGTCTCTTCGGGCCATGTTGGAATTACCCACATCTTTATTTGAGTGTGTTTGTTTTATTTGTGTGAATATTTACGGGCCTTTTTGCTCGCCAGCGTTGTTTATCGCCGTATTCTCTCCGTCGAACCCGGAGCAAACAAAGCGTCCGGCGGCAGATGAAAGTGATGAGGTCCTCGCTGATGTACTTTTACTTCCTCATTATTCCCTGGTTTTATGGTCGGTTCTTTCCAGAGTTTTTTAACCCAACATCGCGGTTCCCTGACAGAGGTCAAAGACACCGTTTGGCGCTTTGCCTCAAACCCTGAAAGTCTAAATTGTGCCTTTTGGATTTACCATACATCAAAATAAAGTCCCACATGAGTTCCTGATCACAGAAGAGAGCCTCTTTTATCCGGAGCGCTCACACTCTGGCCATGTTTCTGGTCCGCTCTGTACTTACTGAGCCCGTTTTGACCAAACTGAAGCACATTTCCTGACATTTATAGACAGAGGGGGACACTTTAATGTGTTCACATGTCACCGCTTCACTACTTCCTAACTCCTTCCGTCTGTATGGAAGATTTCTCGCTGCCTGGAGATAATAATCATAATAGTATAATAACTTCATTTATACAACACTTTTCTAAACAAAGGGCTTTACATGAATTAACAACAAGCCGTTCAGGCGGCAACAGAACATGAGGTCAACAACAACAACCCCCCTGTAAACTGTGTGTGTGTGTGTGTGTGTGGTGTGTGTGTGTGTGTGTTGTGTGTGGTTGTGTGTGTGTGGGTGTGTGTGTGTGTGTGTGTGTGTGTGTGTGTGTGTGTGTGTGTGTGTGCGTGTGTGTGTGTGTGTGCGTGTGTGTGGTGTGTGATACAGAACTATATGTAGTAATCAGTGGTGGTTTAAAGTAACTAAGTACATTTACTCAAGTACTGTATTTAAATTTTAAAAAATTACAATTTTGAGGTACTTGTACTTTACTTCAGTATTTCTTTGCTTCTTTGTACTTCTACTCCACTACAATTATGTACTTTACTTACTATGCAGATCGTGATTAATGATAAACAATATGATCAACTTGCAACAGAGTATTCCTACACTCTGGTACTTCTACTTTTACTCAAGTACAAGATCTGAGTACTTCTACTTTTACTCAAGTACAAGATCTGAGTACTTCTACTTTTACTCAAGTACAAGATCTGAGTATTTCTACTTTTACTCAAGTACAAGATCTGAGTATACGAGAGCACGGTTTGTTCTGATTGATTAGTGGAACAGTTTGATGTCCACAGTTTGGTTTGTTTGCCTTCCTGTGCTGTTCGTGGTGAAACATGGTTTGGACGCCAATGCATTCCCCAGCTCTCCTCTCTCTTGACCCTATAGCCTCCCGTCCTGCCCCCCCCTCCCGCCTTTCTCCCGTCAACTCCCTTTGCTCTGCTGCTTCAAAACAAGCCCCTCCCCCTTTGGACCCTACCCTAAACCCCCCTTCAATCTGCGGAGATGGTACAGCCAAGATAGAGACTATAGAGTGGTGCAGGCAGGGATGATTCCCTCCACAAAAAGCCAATGGGTTCTCTCCATGTGTTTTTGGATTGTTGCAGGAAATAATCAACGTTTATGATACTTACACATTTAGTTTAGCAGAATAATCTCCACATATTAACACCACTTTATGATTTCTGAAGTAAACAGCTAACGTTACGCAATAAAGGAACTACAGCACGGTCACATGACTTCATGTCACCACCGCTAAGCTAAAGGTGGCTAATGTTGGGCTATAAAGTAACTACAGCACGGTCACATGACTTCATGTCACCACCGCTAAGCTAAAGGTGGCTAATGTTGGGCTATAAAGGAACTACAGCACGGTCACATGACTTCACGTCACCACCGCTAAGCTAAAGGCGGCTAATGTTAGGCTATAAAGGAACTACAGTACAGTCACATGACTTCATGTCACCACCGCTAAGCTAAAGGTGGCTAATGTTGGGCTATAAAGGAACTACAGCACGGTCACATGACTTCACGTCACCACCGCTAAGCTAAAGGCGGCTAATGTTGGGCTATAAAGGAACTACAGCACGGTCACATGACTTCATGTCACCACCGCTAAGCTAAAGGTGGCTAATGTTGGGCTATAAAGGAACTACAGCACGGTCACATGACTTCACGTCACCACCGCTAAGCTAAAGGCGGCTAATGTTAGGCTATAAAGGAACTACAGCACGGTCACATGACTTCACGTCACCACTGCTAAGCTAAAGGTGGCTAATGTTGGGCTATAAAGGAACTACAGCACGGTCACATGACTTCACGTCACCACCGCTAAGCTAAAGGCGGCTTAATGTTAGGCTATAAAGGAACTACAGCACGGTCACATGACTTCACGTCACCACCGCTAAGCTAAAGGTGGCTAATGTTAGGCTATAAAGGAACTACAGTACGGTCACATGACTTCACGTCTCCACCGCTAAGCTAAAGGTGGCTAATGTTAGGCTATAAAGGAACTACAGCACAGTCACATGACTTCATGTCACCACCGCTAAGCTAAAGGTGGCTAATGTTGGGCTATAAAGGAACTACAGCACGGTCACATGACTTCACGTCACCACCGCTAAGCTAACGGAGGCTAATGTTAGGCTATAAAGGAACTACAGCACAGTCACATGACTTCATGTCACCACCGCTAAGCTAACGGAGGCTAATGTTGGGCTATAAAGGAACTACAGCACTTTATATCGTAGAACAAAACAACAATGAACCAAAAACACATTCAGAAAAACCATTGATTCCAGGCGAAGGGAACAGGAAGTGCTAAAATGCTGACTCATTCCCGTGTTTGAGGACTCATTCCTGCACCGCTCTATCGGACTCACAGATTGTGAGAAACCCATCTGTATGTTAAGCCAATCAACAAATCAATGGATGAATCGATCCATTGATTTCAATCATAATCATTAGACTCTCACTAAACTTAAAAAAATTATACGATTTTTTCTTCTTTTTTCAGTATAGAGTCAAAGTAAGAAAGCAGCCATGTTCTGATTAAAACCTCGTTTCTGTTCTGCCATTTTTTTTTTTGTTGATCCCCTTTTTGCCAGGACTCTCATCGCCTGGTTCTCTTAAGAAGCCGGGGAAATTCGATTTCAGCGCCATGTCCTCCCAGAGGCCCCCCCGCATGGCGTTCACCCACCACACACTGCCCATGCTGGGAGTGAGACCAGGTGAGACTAGATCCAGACCCCCCCCCCCCCCCCCCCCCCTCCTCACCTGTCGTATCTCCAACCCAGTTGAGATTGAACCACGCGCCCAATTCCGCATTAGTAGCTCTGAGCGTCAAGGATGTATAAAGCTTGATCTTCAATCTCAGGACGCTGCGTCGATGCTTTCATCATGCGGAAAAGTTGGCGTGGTTAAATCTCGTCTGGGTTGTAAAACGACAGATGCCCCCCCCCCCCCCTCACATCCCTCCCCCTGGTGCAGAGGTGGATATATGGGTGCTCCCCCCCCCCCCCCCCCCCCCCCCCCCCCCCTCCCATAGGGTGCTGTTCAAACTGGTGACGGAGCTTCTAGGGATTCTGGGTGTTGGAGTTTTGTCTGGCTCTGTGCGGTCTCTCGGGGGAAAGTATACGCTTCATACTCTGGCTGTTGTTCTTCAGGAGGTACACCACGGATCAAGTGTTGTTTACTATTTGTACTTGTTGACATACTGTACTGCTTGTTTATTCCACGTTTCTGTTGGTTGGCAATTGTTTGTTTTTTCTTTTTACATTCAGTGCAAAACACAAAACACACAAGTATGCATGTTGTCCATTTGATACCATACCATCGACCTCAAAACATTAAAATACATTTTCAAGTATCAAATAATATATTAATAATCCAAGTAATATAAATAATTATGATTGACATTTTTTAAATATTCCTTCATATTGGCCGTTATGTACTGGAGGTTTAAGAGATTTAGAAAGCAGTACAGTGGGGATTAATTGAGTTGCATTATGGGAAATGTAGTATCCAGCTGTTATTGCACTTGATTCATAACTAGAGAGCAAAAGTCAATTTATGGCGCATTTCCACTACAGCGCGGAGCAGTGTTAATTTCGTCAACGAAAACTATGACGAAAAATGTTCGTCAACGACCTTTTTTACACGACTAAGACGAGACGATGACGAGCTAAAAATAGATTCTTGATAACGAAAATTTGACGAAATGTATATTTAGTTTTCGTTGACGAGACGAGACGGGACTAAGGTGTTAATGGTGGACTATCGGACATTCAAAATGCAGGGTATTTCCCCACAATTGCCCGTCTTGTCTGTCAAAATGCATCTTACGTTTCTAACTTGCAATATCATTATTTCCGCTCTCTTCACTCCAGAAGAGCGATCTCCCTGTCTCTCTCTGTGTGTGCGGGGGGCGGGGCCTAACAGACACGCTGCAGCGGCACACAGAGATCTGCCGGGGACGGAGCGTTCAGAGAGTATAGAGACACTCTACAAGACTCAATGTGGACAAAGCTCGTTTGTAGTAGTCTGTCCAAACAGCCGGCCAAAAGGCGTCATATTCAATCGGAGAAATGCACAATTTTCGACTTCCTTAACTCGTAGCTCTGTTGCCCCAATTACGAGTAACGTTATCACATCAGGTGTGCAGAGGTAGGAGAAGTAGCCTACTCAGATCTTGTAGCTAAGTAAAAAAATACCATAGTGTAGAAAGAGTTCCTCAAGTCAAAGTATGATCATCAAAATATAGTGAAAGTAGCGACAGTAAAAGTAGTCATTGTGCAGATTGGTCCATTTCAGAATAATATATATGATATGTTTTATAATGATTGATCATTAAAGTGTTCTCAAAGCTGGTAAAGGTGCAGCTAGTTTGAATGACTTTGTATACTGCAGGGTAGCTTGTGGATTTACTCCAGGTGGAACTAAAGTCTGATTTAACACTTGATTATATTTCACATCATTCATCCACATCTGTAAAGTAACTAAAGGTATTAAATACATGTAGTGGAGTAAAAGTACACCATTGACCTCTGAACTGTAGAGGAGGAGAAGTACACAGTAGCAAAACATTTAAATACTCCAGTAAAGTACAATTACCTCAACATTTTACTCAAGTACAGTAGCCTACAAGATTTTAACATAATTATATATATTTCATTTATTTCACATTTAAATAAAGCAATTAATTCGGTTAACAACAAAAATAACAAAAAGTAAATACAAGAATACCGTTAAAGTACCGGATCGATAAGCAGTATTGATAAGACTAGTAGTACCGTAGAAAACCTTAGCGATACCCATCCCTAGATATTACACAAGTAAAGTGTTAAGAGAGTGAAATGTTGCTTTACGAATTTCAACACTTGATGCTGTCACCTTGATTACAATGTCAGAAACCTGTATTTGCCTAACTGAATTGGTTTAAAGAGAGAAAACATTTTGACTAAAAGTTGACTAAAATGTATTTTTTCATCGACTAAAAGTAGACTAAAACGTTTTGAGTTTTCATCGACTAAAACTAGACTAAAACTATGAAGGATAGAAATGACTAAAATGTGACTAAAACTAATAACCATTTTCGTCTAAAGACTAAGACTAAATCAAAAACAGCTGCCAAAATTAACACTGGCGCGGAGCACGGTTTAAGAGGGCTGTGACGTCAGCGGCCCGTCTTTGGTTGCGTTTCCACTTGGCCTAGTACCGGCCGGCGGGTCCTAATTCACAGTTTTTCTGGCCTCATAAAATCGCGGGTCTAGGGCCAGAGACAACGAGGCTGAGTCGGGCTGAGTATGCTAAACTAGAGAGAGCATCGCTGGCAAGGGGGCTACAACTACAACAAGATGGACATATTTGACCGTGATTTAATTGTAATACACGTTTCAAAATGATGCCGAAGTAACAACATACTGATACCGGTTAGTAAAAAGCATGAATTAATGCTTTGTCAAGTCTGCAGACAGACGGCAGGGGAAAAACCTTTTAAAATGCTTGTTTTCTAAATGGAGATTGGCTAAGCTAACGCAGTATATGCTCCGACCGTCCACACTCACAACAACGGCCTACAGACATAAATAAAGCAGCGACTGTATTCACCATGACACAGGCAGTCTGTGGTTTGTACTTGTTTAACTTTTGTCTAGTTTCTGAACATATATGAGGAGCTGTGAGCTCTGAGTGCTAACAGCTAACGGCTGTGTTGTTTTTCTGGGGTTCTCATTGAAGATGACGTCACGGCTCCGCCTACACTGCGTTACTATAGATACTACCCCAGTTCCTAAACTGTAATGGAAATGCGCCATAAAGTGAGCCAGTCCTAACGAGGCCTAGCCATACCGAGCGAGGCCGAGCGAGGCCGTGTAGTGGAAACGCGCCATAAGTCTCCTGCTTTGTTTACGCCATTTTTTTAAGTCGTGAATACCTGATTTTTGTATTAACATCAAATCACTGCGCCTAACAAGCTAAAGACTCAAAGACCCTGATCTCCAAGTCTTAGTGGCAATGGGTTGGTGGTCATTTCATGAAGTATTTGCCAAACCACCACTGGGGTATTGGTGGCCTTATATTGAATCTCCCGGCTTCTTGTTTTAAGGTGATGCCATCGTGCATTTTTCTTCATTATGGTTGCACAGATTTGGAGCAAAGTGTGATCCAGCCCTCTGTATTTCCACTTCTCTGTTCCCTATCTTCTCAGAATCAGGTTTATCGTGAGGTGCGTTTACACTTACAAGGAATTAGCTTTGGTATCTGGTGGTGTGAACATAAACAATCTAAAAAAATAAGTTAAAGGAGTATATAAGGATAATCTTTTTTTTTTTTCAAAGTCAACTTTAATGTCAATCTTACTCAGTTTGTGTTTACAGAGAGATCGAAATGACGTTTCCAACAATCCCGAATGTAAAATTATACAGTATACAGATATGTATACAGATATGTATAAAATGTGTATATCCTATATACACAGTCAACAGACACATGTACACATATGCACACATTAAAGTGGACCTATCATGCTATATTGGAAACATATATTGTAGGGCCATACCTATACAGAACATGTCTGTGAAGTTTTGTGCTTCAAATCCCAAACAGACCACCCATTGTAGCCATGCCTCATTCTGCTCAAACCCCTCTTTTGCAGCCCTGTTAGAGAAACGCTGATTTTGGGTCCTTAGGTTAAAAAAAAAAAAAAGAGGAGGCGGAGCTAATGCCTGATCAGAATTCTACCGGAGATAAAGTTAAATTCTGCTGTGATAAAATGCCATCCTGTTCTAAACCACATCAAGGATTATTTCTGAAACAGTATGGAGCTCAAATGCTTTTTCTCTTGCGGGTTTATCACAAGGTGAGTTCCTTTTATATTTCCTGCTTTTTAAACACGTGCTCTCCAGTACAGGTTAGCTCTGAGTGTTAGCGAGGCTAATGTAAACAAAGACGAGATTACATCCAAAACACGTCAGGCATTGTTTCTGATAGCAACTCTCTGTGGGTCCACCATCCGAAATTACGTAATATCGGCAGCAAATCTGTATCAGCCCGTTGTACCCCCGTTTTTAAAAGATGTGGGTACGGAGGAAAAGAGAGAGGGTTTTATTTTCTGACGCTGCGTGAGTTCCCCGACACACCGGGGACACATTGATGTATAAAAGACATCACAAAGTGCATTTTGCATGATAGGTCCCCTTTAAGATAAAAAAAACACAACAATCAATATATACAAAATAACAGTCACTTCTGTCGATAATACAAAATGAGTATTTTTAAGAAACAATTTAGCATCAAAAAAGGATGCTAAAGACAAGTATTTACACCTCATTTAAATGTAACTATACGAATAACCTTAAAAGCTAAAAAACAGAAACACTTAGGACAATGAGTATACGCAAACTGAGTGTATTATATTTTAAAGTGGAGGGCTGTGCAGACATGTGTGCAAACATGTGCCAAAAGCAGTCTGAGAGTTGAGCGTGAACATGGCTCGCAGTGTTAAGAAAGACAAAAAAGAACAATATGTTGTTCACATGATGAGCATTCTTTATTACTTCTAGTGTCCTTGTTGCCTTGCGCTCCTCCACAGTGTGGGAACACATTGATCTCAGTCTGAGGGATCACATGTCTTTACTCCTCAGAGACTCAGTGTGAAGCAGCTGATCCTCCAGCAGCAACAAGAGCTCCTGATAACATCCACACATCGTAAATCACCTCCATTAGGATCATC